CTCTTCAAACTATATGAACGTACTCCAACATACAGACTTACTTTTCTTGTTTATCGAAAGATTTTTAAGATCATACATATGGTTTACATTCCCCCAATTTCGTTAAAGTTGGTAACGAGTGGTAGTTCAATTCTCCCATAATCATATGAATAGACCTTTCACATAGCCTCGCTTCCCGAAAGGTGACCGCATGCAGATTGGAATGTAGGACAGTTTCAACCTCGTCTCGTCAGCACCCTCAGCGGGACTCGAACCCAGGTTGTGTTAGTGCCGTGTCCAATCTCGACGCTTTGACCACAACGTCAGACTGTTGTCACCAGTGCCCTCGGATGACAAAGAAGAGGTTAATTTCAAGAAGGCTCGTATCACAATAGCGAACTAGGATTTATGGTTTAGTGGTAGTCTGGAAGTCGTAGACCTTAGCCTACCACGGTCCAGAGAGGTGACTTATCGTCCACGTCTACACAGACCTTCTCTTCTTGCCGTCGACGAAGATGGGTTTTTTAATTCTGAGTATTCCTGCCTCTGGGATGCACACAATGCCCAGTCGAGGGTGTGGCAGGAGAAGATATGACGAGGACAAGGGCCGACCGTGTGTGGCTTGTACAATCGATCATCATAAACCGACAAATATAGGGTAGGTAAAAGGGAAAATTAAATTAGGCTGTGTGTAGCTTGTGTGGGGGTCATACAAACTTGTAGGCAGGCGTGGGGAAGTCTGTTTGACATGTCTTGTAGGGAGGCTAGATAAAGGGATACTTCAACAGACCAACCTGAAGAGTTCGTCTATGCCGGCTCAGTTGTGTGGTAGAAGGAATGGGATTTGTCCATCTATCCACGTGCATCCACTTCCTCCACAATCCACAGTCTCTGATCTGCCCACGCCTCGTTTGCTCCGTTGTCTTCCACGGCTTGAATGGCCAACTTTTCGGCCATTGTCTCACTTTCTTTCTAATTCCATCATAGTGAACCTGTCTAGGCCAGGGGACGAGTTGCGATAATCTACTCATCTTTTCAAGCCACTCCCACGACCGCCACATCATTCCCTCTTGTGCCCCATGCCCCATGCCCCATGCCTCTTACGACTCGGCCCTCAAGCCTCTTTTTGGTGGGCTCATTCTGAGGCTGGTCGGAATGCTCAAGCCGGCCGGCTTTGTCGGATTGACGAGGCTGGTATCGAGGCTCGGTACCCACGGCCGGGGCGAATTTCGAGACAGCAAGTGCAGTCGAGCGGCAATTCAATTTGTCGTCGAGTCGCCCACTCCGCCCAAACCCAATGCATACCATTTAGATTCCACTGCACAGGCCAGCCGGACGGTTGAGACGAAGACGATCTGACAAAGTGCAACTTTTCATCGTCTCATGAACACAAAAGTTGACTTGACAGCAAGTGTCTTAAAGGTGGAATATGATCAAGACACGAATGAACAGATTGACCGACATGATCTGTGCGTCGGGTGGTACCGAGAAAGTCGTCTTTGGCGACTATTTGCAGGAGGAAATGGACTGTGAAAAACGGCGAGAACACGAGGATAGACTGGCCGGTTGTCGTGCCACATAAAAATATGTACAGAGGCCTGCTTACCAACCTCAGGTCACGGACTGGCTGAAGACAAATATAGAAAACCTGGTCCTAGAAGAGAGTCGCCGCACGCCTCAATTCCCTCGAGAGCAGAAAGCAGGAAGAGGCCAATATTGCTGTAATAAGCTAATCAGAGAAGCGTATATCTTGTCAACTGGCAACGAGGAATGAATAATTAATGATTGTGAAGAAGAAAGAGGATATACAAACGGCGGTTGGAGCCCCAGAAATGCTTTGCGCCACACTGAAGTGTGCAATTGGAAATCCATGAAACGGAAAGTAACAATAAAAATGCTATTAGTAGTGGTAAATGTACAACAACAACAACAACAACAACAAC